CGACAAATTAATATCTTATTTTTCATTCATAGTAGGTGGATTTTTTTCCTCCAAAAGTAAAACAAATGAACAAGCTTTAAGATGATACTATTAGTTCCATATGAGTGCCTGCATGTATACATTCATATATACATACATACATGCATACATACATAATACATACATACATACATACATACATACATACATACATACATACATACATACATACATACATACATACATACATACATACATACATACATACATACATACATACATACATACATACATACACACATACATACATACATACATACATACATACATACATACATACATACATACATACACACACACACACACACACACACACACACACACACACACACACACACACACACACACACACACGCATGCATGCATGATACGTACATACATACATACATACATACATACATACATACATACATACATACATACATACATACATACATACATACATACATACATACATACATACATACATACATACATACATACATACATACATACATACATTACATATCATCATTTTATTACTTTTATTGCTACTATTATTACTATTATTATATAAGTAGTAGTAGTAGTAGTAGTAGTAGTAGTAGTAGTAGTAGTAGTAGTAGTAGTAGTAGTAGTAGTAGTAGTAGTAGTAGTAGTAGTAGTATCATCATCATCATCATCATCATCAACAATATCATCATCATTCATCTTCTTCTTCTTCTTTTTCTTCTTCTTCTTCTTCTTCTTCTTCTTCTTCTTCTTCTTCTTCTTCTTCTTCTTCTTCTTCTTCTTCTTCTTCTTCTTCTTCTTATTATTATTATTATTACATGTATTAGTATTATTATTATTATTATCATTATTATTGTTGTTATTTTGTTATTATTTTTATCATAACTATTCTTAGTATTATTATTAATATTATTATTATCATCATCATCATCATCATCATCATTATTATGAATGTACATCATCAAAGAGACAAGGATCTTCAACCTTTGCATTTTTTGCACCACTCTATGTTATGTAACTCTCTGAGGCAGATGAACGTATAGAAAATAAAATAAAATGATCGCACTTTGACGGCCCTCCGGACTACAGGCGTAGTTGACCCCCGCCATGTAAGCATACACCTCTCTATCCACGTCCTGTGAGACGCAGCTGGTGTCCAGGGCGTACTGGGCACAGTGACTGCCGCTCTCCAAAATTCTGAAAGAGAATAAGAAGAAGAATAACATGTCTCTCGTGGTCGAGATGTTACGGTGTTAGCCTCCCATTGAATAGTCCCGGGTTCAAAACCGGGTAGCGACGGAGAAGAATTTTCTTCTCTAAAATGTTCTCCTTTCATCTCATTTCCTGCTCTCTAACCATTTTCAGCTGTCTGATTTCGTTTCCACTTTCTGCATATATCCCCTAACTTCCTCTGCCCCCTTCCCCCTCTGGGTTCCTGATTCTTTCTGCAGCCTTTCGACTGCCACTCCATGGCTCCTTCTTATTGCTGTCTTTCAGCCACACCCCTGATATTATGATAGGTAAGATCTACGTCTAGCCTTATCGGATAACGGCGGGAAATGTTGAACGTCCAGTGAGCAAATTGCGCACGTTAAAGACCCCTTGGTTGTCCAAAATCGATAAGAGCAGGCGCTTCGACCGCCATCCGGGCAAAATTCAAAATTCCTACCGAAACTGAAACTCATATGACCTAATGCAGTTGCGAGCACCGTAAAACATTTACAAAGAAAAAAAAAGAAGCACGTCGGTGTTGAATACAACAAGTGAATATCAGGGTACACGGCAAGATGAAGACCAAGGAAGACCTGTATCGAGCATTTGAAGGATACCTGTGAGACCCACAACATCCCACCCAGTGAGGCCATTCAGCTTGCCCCAGACCGAAAGCTCTTTCTCCCCTCGACGCCATAGGTTGTATAAGACGAGGGGTATAGCATAAAGTAAGTAAGTTGTGCGCACTCCACTAAGTCCATTTTGGTACATTTAACACCCCAAAGACCAAAAAAAAAGTTTTGTTGTGTTGGTCGTAATTAGGAATCATGAAAAGCAAGAAAACTGTAAGTCTTGACCATAGCAAGCATTACACTGTATTTTGGTGATGTTGATAGGTGCATCTTTGATCCAGCTTTGAGAGCGTGTAATAATCGAAAATTCTACAAATTTGGTCTTATGTGGATTGCCTGCGATAACGACGATAAAAGCCCAATCTTGGGGAGTTACATCATGTCTCTTGTCAGAAACAGCAGAATGAAAACTAAGATTTGAAGGAGTCCGAAAAATAAAGGGTTTAAGTTCAGTAGGACTTAAATATGATATTAAAGTGCTCATATACCATGGGACCCTACAAAAGCTTTATCCACGGAGACACTCATAACAACGGTTAATACAATAATATAGAAAGGAACGCGAGATTTTACTGACGTACTTGATCACCATCTGGATTTAATGTGACAAATTTACACATGAAAATTCCACGTTTGAAAGAAGTAAGAGCACGTCATGCTCCATGCGACATTCGTTTCGGCCGATACATAAAAAAGGAGGAAAAATTACACCGGTGAAAAGATACGTTTCCTCACCTGCACAATTCGTCGACAGGTGCGGATCGGGCATATGCCAGGAGCTTTTCATCTGTGTCCCCGTGCATCATAACCCTTCCCATCACCATAAATAGGCAGCTGACTATATCGGCCTCGCACTGATCAACGGCATTTATGGTAACCATCAGACCTGTAAACAAAAATAATTTGAACCTGCGTTGATTTGTCGTTTTATCGAAACTTTAAAATGCGTCTAATTTACCTTCTCTTTAAACAAACAAGCAAACAAACAAGCAAAATATGAACAAATTAACAAACTAAAAACAAAATCAAATATGAAGAATAAGAATATCTCTGACCTATCTGTAAGAGTTGCGGTTAAAAAAAAAAATATCATATTATCATCTGTCAACTAAAGACATAAAAGTAGATCGTTAGGAATCTTTGAATGCTCGTTTTTTCTACACTCCTTCGTCGAGAATAGAAAAAACCCCATTTATTTGAGAATTTAGAAGAAAAACTTTCTAAGAGATGGTATGGGAAGTGTTAAACATCACAATATAGATAATTTTTAAGGGAGTTAGAAATTCCATAAAAGGAACAACACGATGTGCGAAATTACTGCAGCGGCTGTTTCTATAATTCATTTTTAATATAGGCGATTTTACGTCCCGTTCGACAGGATTTAGATCATTTAGGAAGCGGGTTTCCGACCCTGCCTGTAAGGCCCAACCCGGGCTGAGAGGGAAGCGACATCTCAGCAGAAAGATAGATGATTATGAATTTAGAAATTATCTCCACTCGGGAATCGAGCTCGGGTCAGCAAAATGTCCTACTGCTACACCTTGGACGCCGGTTTTGCCACTGTAAAGTCTTCAAACGTCGCGCATTAAGTGCTATTTTGTTCCTTGTGTTGATTCCAATTTCCTTTTTTTTTTTTTTAGTTTTCATCTTAGTAAGAGTTTTACGGCACTTGTAACACAAACAAGTACAGACGATTAGAGGTGATATACGAGAGTAACAAACACAAAAAAGAAGGAGAGATAAGGACGACAGATGTTTGATAGGAGAGAAGGAGCAAACTGCACCTCGGCACCCCCCAACCACCAACTTAAATTTCCGTCTTTTGGAAGAATTAATTGTCGCAGCTGTCAAGGCTGTTGAAAAAAATCCATTGGAGCCTAGATTTGTAATAGTTGATATCCTTCCTGAGAAAGTCATTACATCTTTGATCACATTTCTGTTTGAGCACGTGACAGATACATTGCAGACCAAGGGTAATGCTGTGGCACATTTTGAACTGCACTACATAAATCAGAAACACGAATTTTCATAATATTTGTAGTTTAGCGCGGTAAAATCAGGCGATCATCAAAATAATGTAATCAAGGACACCGACATTGTATTGGCTGTTTAGGCTTTTGTTTTTTCGAATTTTCTTTTCTTTTTGGCTCAATATCTTCTAGATCTATATCCATAATTTAAGAACACATTTCTGCGTGGACTTGACTGACAATCATTGATCAAAATCACAAAAAAATCATAAATTTTCAGGACACTCAAAACTTTGGAAGTCACCATACTTTGGCGGCCTTTTCCTCACTAATGTTACCTCTTACACTAGGCGACTTCCACCTCCTTCAATCGCAAATGTCTTGACTTCTATTGAAGTTAGATGGGTACGTTTTTCGCCAAACGCAAGACAAATGAACACGCTTTAAGATTATGATAATAACTCCACATTGCCCAAAATTTTACGAGTGCATGATCCCCCCCCCCCTTTTGAGACACAATTCAGAGTTTGCATATTGCTGCTTGCCAGTTTTAAGTTTCATATTAAAAACAACAACTGTAAAATCTGCGTGAATAAAGAAATTCTATTTTTAAACAGATCCTCTTCAAGCGTTTTCGAATAACTAGAATCTTTGTCTTCAAAGAGTTAAAAAAGACGGCAGAACTGACACCTTCCAGGGTTTACTTGCCTGCCACAAAAACAGCGACAATGATGACTTGAAATGTTTTCATCGTGTAGCAAAAGGTCAAGGAAACGGGCCAGAAGTCCTGAAAAAAAAGATAAATGAATCTCTAAGAAAAATGTTATAGTTCAACACTTTACAAACATTTTTGTTCTTAGCTCACAGAAAGCATATTAGTCGGCCTTAACCTTGTCTTCAAGGTCAGGTCGGCCGTTAATGATCCTGAATGGAACAACCTGTAGTTCGCATGTCCACCCAACAAGAAAAAAACCGTGCTTTCTGGTAGGTGACAGTTCGGTGTGTTCGTTTCCGATTTGCGTGCACTGGTCAATTAATGTTAAAGAACATAAGGCGCGAATATACAAAACTATGAATTATTAGTTCTTTTAAATCCGTGGTAATTATGCGTTGATTATATAAAGTTTTGAGGCACTGTTCACGAATATGACTATATTTCTCGTAAGAACTTGAAATTATAAATTATGTTTATCTCTGTTCTACCTTGACTATGGCTGATAGAACGCCACACAACCCGGCAGAAATTCAGCATGCTGTATTCCTAAACACTTGCCTTTGTAATGAGGAGAGGTGTTGTTTTGGCGAACACATTCAAACGAGGATTTATCATATTTTTTACTTGTGCTCTATTTCAAACACACATTTGGATGGCAATTTCTAATTTGTTGTACGTTCAGACGCACACGTACAATGCAGATCTGGGTAGGTTACAATAATACAGAATGTAAAGTAATAATGAGAATCATAGTATAATTTTTTATTATCATTCTAAATTATAATAAGGCTGAAAATGATAACTGAGAAATAA